ACTGTTTGAAGCTAGGATCAGCCTATTCTTATGGAAGGTGTGCATTAAAATCACAGCCAAACTGGAGAGCTGCTTGGCTCTACTTTGACATACGTGTACTGGTCTTACAGTAGTTGTGCACTTGATTGTAAAAAGCAGTGCATAATGTGTAATAGATGGTGCATTACCCTTGCATTACCACCGGACTAAAACCTGTCTTGTGTTAAGTTGCACTATGGACTCAAATGTAATGATAAGCACAGCAGTGCTCAAATCCCAGCAGGTATGCTGATTACTAAATATTCCGGACAGAATCGATGGCCCAAACTTTAGAAGATTCCTTAAAATGGGCCCTTGAACTTGGTAGAAAACAACGTGTCTTCAGTGGTGACCTCATGTTGCACTAGTGAGTGTGTTGAGTCCAACCAATAAAGCCATCCCAGATTTGAAAATCCAGCCTTTCTGTTCATCCTATCAGTATATTGGTATATCCATTGGTTTACGTTTATAGATTGACCTGTCACTATGTTTCGAGAATAAAGAAGAAATACACATGAAGGATATAATGATAAGAGGCAGCTTTAAAGTATTGACTGAAATAACCTGGCACCAAGTCATACTGAAACGTGTTCAGTCAAACGATACCTGCTTTGGATCCTTTTGTGCCGGGGATCTGATCCCACACTGGGCCAACTTCCCACTGAACAGTGTTGGGCAGTGACCTGTTGCTGGTAATGTATAACAGTAATAATATTACTTTTTTTCAGTAATGAGTAGTGTAACTAATTACTATAAAATTTCAGTAATAATATTACAGTTACCCCAAACCAAACAACTTGCAACATTACTTTTGTTATCACATCACTACAGACTTTAAATACAACATCAGCGGACTCATTTTAGTAATCGTCGGGCTGCACAGGCACGTCACAAAGCAGCAAGCTAGTTGAAAACGCTTACCTTAGCGGCTGTAAATAATCCCATTACTTTGATTTTGTCAGGAAGAAAGATGACAAGAATACTGTTGCTGCAGGTAGTCTTACTAAAAGTAGCAAGTAGCGCTACACTGGCTAAACAACCAAAACTTGGTTTTAATCATGGGTAGCTGCAGCTACAAGTAGTGTGGCAAATTACTGTTGGCACAGAGTAATAAGTAAAATCTTATTACTTTTGAAAAGAGTAACGCGTAATGAGTAATATCTTACATTTTTAGAGTAACGAGTCCAGCACTGCTGCCGATTAAGCAAACTTTGTGTTGCTGTGTCTCCAGAGCTGCTCTGCTCGGCCCAGTAAGCCGTTTCTGAAGCAGCTGTCCCCTTGCGAATCTTAAGTTCAAAGTCTACCTGGTTAGCACAAACTAACACAGCAGCAGTAGCTAACATCCAATACAGAGCTGTTAAACAGTCCCAACAGACTCACACTGACATTGAAACGGCTCGACTCTGTTGTTAAGCCTGTGAAGTAATGTTAGCAGTGTGATACTAACAATTAGCCCTGTCACTGTGTGTGTGTAGGTGGACTCTCTGTACCTGGCATGGAGCTCACACTCCCACAGCAGCAGCTAATGTTTACAATCCATACAAGTCTGTGGTGTGGTGAAGTCGAATGCAGTGTATTTGACTGAGTTGGCAGTTCAGCGTACCGAGGTGCCACCAAAACGATCAGAAGTATGGCTATACTCCACTCCACTCCATTGATGTCATGGGTACCGAATGAAGTACTCTATCGGTATCAATTTAAGAGTACCGGTAGTGGTACTGGTATCATAATTTTTTATGAGTCACACTTTAATATTAACTAGGGGTGGGGGGAAAATTGATACAGCATAATACTACGATATTTTTGCGTGAAAATATCTCATTGACACACAACGCCAAGTAGTATTGATTTTCTTATAATGTAAATTAATAATATTGAAAATACAAATGAAACTCTTTGTAGCCTACTAAGATAATAGAATGAGTTGCTTCATCAGTCCATTAGATACATTTTGCTGCAGTATAAATGACTGAAGTGAGATGGACATACTGAAAACTTTTTATCCTATTAGATCAAACAGATGTTGTTAAGGTAGATAAAAGGTAATAATTTGCAATGCATTTCAATATATGTTATTGCAATACTCAGCAACATGTTTAAAATCACAATAAAATTGTACAGTGGCTCAAGTATGGTGATAATATTGTATTGTGGGGCCTCTGGTGATTCCCACCCATAATATTAACAGGTTGATGAGTTAGATCAAATATTCATACCATCCATATATATATGGACTATATTTAGGCACAGGCAAAATCTGGTCTCAGGCCCATTACTTCTCTAACATGGTTTTTGGCTCAGCACATATTAGGATCAATATTGAGGGAGGAAATCAAGCTGAGCTCATGCTCAGATTCTGATGCCTGACTTGCCATGAAGACATGGTGCTTTCACTTTAGGTTTTAAACAAACACATGTCCACCAGTGGGATCTTAACAGTAATCACTGAAGTTCCAGCACCTCTAATATGTCAATAAGCCACCTGTTTGTGAAATGGCTCAGGATGGAGTCAGAAAATGATTCATTTCCATGTGAACAGCAAATGATGCTGCAAAAGGAGCACATACAAGAGGAAGTGACAGGAAGCAGCTGACTGAGACCCTAAGAACTTAAACCCACCAACATTTATCTGCATTCTATTTAATGGAAATCCAGCATCTAAACTGTACAATGGGAAGAGCAGGGCCACCGACACTGCTGCAATTCTACTCCAGTCCACAAATTCAATTGCCTTCCACCTTTAAAACCAAGCCTCAGGCTGCTGCTCTGATTGCAGTGAACTGGCACAGTTGATGACTGCACTCAGTAATACCATATGTCATCAGTGTGTTTGGCGTGGTCACTCTGTTGTGGCCTGTTGTGTTATAAATGCGTAATTCTACTGACAATTTTTAACTTAACTTATGCATACATGTACAAACATAATGCACAGACCCATGGGCAAAATCAAATTCAAACAGTCACTGTAATATTACAATGATACCATGTGAGTTAAATACTCCTGCAGCACATACGAGAGATAAAAAATATAAGATTGTATATACACAATACTGAGTGACAAAGAGCTATCACAAGTTTTCAGCCTATGGCATTTTTTAAAATATTGAAGTGACACTATTTAAATCCATTCTAAATATGTTCAGGTCACAGCAAAAACAGAAAATCACAACCTTATTCCATTATTTTAGACAATAATGGAAGACATGATAATGAAATACTCAGATTAATATAATGAGTTTTTTTCTAGAGGCTGATGAAACTTTTGTGAGATAGCATTATGTTGAGATAAATGTTAGTAGTTTACATAGCCAGTGCATGGACTACCTACACTGCTCATTGTTTATACATATTAGCTCAACCTGGTCAGTGCAATAAGTGTGCCTTGACATCTCTCTTTGGTACTACCAGTAACATGTAGTGCCTCTGCCATCCAACTAGAAACCTCAAACCCTGCTCACAGCCCCATGAGGCTGTCATTTCATGACACCCCACAACTTACAAGACAGAATAAAAAAAAAACACAGTAATAACTTAATTATTCTTAGAGCTTTACAAGAAGTGTGGCTGAAAATGTAAAACTTCTCCTGAGGGTGTTGCTAGAGAAAAGGCCGTAGAAGCAATAAAAAAAGGGTCATCTCAGGAATATGAATGTGAATAGGCAACTTTCATAACAATCAGCAGAAATATCGTATACAAAGTTGATTTTCTGGCCTGAGGTGGCGCTAAAGGGAAGAACAAAAATGTAAAGAAGTTATCTTCTGAGGAGAATTAATGTGCTCTGTGAATGTCATGACAATCTGCCTATTAGAGTTTGATATTTCTTATGTTCAGGTTAAACATTTGGTGAAGGTGGGAATGATGAGAGTATGGCTTTAAGAAATAGCAGTAATATTTGAAAAAAGATAAGAATTCATCCTCTTGCAAACATGAATATTCATGCCTGCCTATATTTTTCAGATAGGGGAGACTGGGGGTTGGTTGGCACACTTTTCACTGTCTTCCATATTTCTCTGGCATAATTTAGGTAAGAATATTCTAACCAGCAGCGAATGAAAGGTTAAGGTCTCAGTTGTAAATATATATGATTTAATGTCCACTAATGTTTTCCAACATTAGGGAATCTGTGATTAAAGTAATTTTGTGTGTTTGTGCTAACCAGCCCAGTAAGGGGGCACACGTTATGGGATCAGTTGGCATAATGTTAAAATGCTATAGTTACAACAAAACATTATGTTATGGTACAAGTGGTCCACATGATGGTGAAAAGGAATGTTTGTTGTATCTTTTCTTTTTTTTTTTTTTAAAAAAAAAAAAATACCAATATCTGAACTAGCGGACTGTTTCTATTGCAGTTTATCAGTAATTTATCAAGAACTGTCAATTACTTTTGCCATTGACCATTCAAAATACACTACTACTACTACTACTACTACTACTAATAATAATAATAAGAAACCTTGCTCACATTTGACCTAACTTTGTGATGTTAGCCAAATTTATACAACGGTTAGTTCCGACCGAGTAATTTGATTGGACGAGAGGCATTCCGTGAGTGCTGATATAGAGTGCATCACTGGGACTTGTAACAGTAAAATCACTCCGCTCACAGGTGGTTTAAATATAAATACAACCGTTAATTAACCAACTGTCACACTCGCTACATTGACGCAAACTGACACTATAGCGTTACATTATATATACTGAATTATCAATGATCATCTGATGAGGTACTGATGAGGATGAGGGAGAGTGGAAGCTGAATCCGGCTGTGCCAACATCCAGGTTTGCCAACGTTTCATCAGCCGAACTGGACGAAGTTACACAGTTGCAGATCAATGTAAATACTAAGTAGGCTAGCTTGTGAGTTCCTGGCGTGTGTGCTGCGTTGCCTGGCAACAGACTGGGGGAACTGTTTTTTTTTCGCGGAGCTACATAACATACTTAAATAACTGATTTCATCACCTTTTGTTAACATTTCCTTACTCTGTTGAACTGTTGTTCAACAACAGCTACTTAAGCAATATCACACTCGAGGTCGTGACATTGTACTATATATCGTCACAGCTGTAAATGTCTTCGGCACTTGGCCTGCGGCCTGTGCCTTCGACCAAATCACAGCCGTGACGATATACAGTACAACATCACTGCCTCTCATGTGATATTGCTTAAGTAGCTGATTCCTTTGTCTATTAACCAAAAGTAACACTTTTCCAATATCTATATCTAACACAGTTTTATATTATGTTTAGTCCACAGACCAGTGTATTAGTGACTTTTAGATGTATCATCGTAGTAGATCGGTGCAGTGAAGAGAGCAAACATTTTTGTTTCTGTGACTTTTAAAGGACCAGAAAATATCTGTGTGCCAACCAACCCAAGTCAGCCCTGCCATGTCAGGTCGAAGTGTTGGCTGAGAATTCTGACCTCATGCTGGTGGTAGAGGTAAAGTCAGGTCAGAGGGTCACCAAAACCTTTGGAGTCTTCCTCTGGGGACCATGAACATCCACAGCAAACTTAACAGCTGCTCGGTGGTTGAGCTATCTCACTCTCGGCCAAACAGTGGGGAGAGACACCTTTGTCCCACGGCTTCACTGCTGCCAGGGTAAAATGTTCATGTAGCACTAATGAACCCTAAATGAGAACTTGTTCAATGGCAATGCAAAATAACACACTGTATTCATCTGCTTTTAAACATTAAAATATGGTTTAAGTCGCCATGTGCAAAAATGATGATGACATCCAGTTTGTACAGTAAATTTCTCAGAGTGTCTGTCTGTCTGTCAGTCATTCCATTCAAGACTTCTGGGACAAACACATGAGCAGTGTCCTCCAGACATCCCATATAACAATATAAACATATAATTTGAGTATTTTAGACGGTCACTAGTCTGTCAGCTTGTTGAACTTTATCGGATGGAGGGGTGATGGGTGTGTGTTTGATGTTCAGTTTGGAGAAAGTGACAGTGTCTTCTCTCTCTCCTGAGTGCTTTCCTTCCCATCTTTATCTCCTTAAAGGCCACATCTCTCTCTGATTCTCTTCCTCTTTTATATATGTCTCCTCCTCATGTCTGTCTGCCATGGTCCCTCTCCGTCTCTCAGGTCAGAGGTCAGCCTTCATCAGGCTCAGCAGCCTCTTCTTGTGCTCTGCAACCTTTTATAGATGAGACGAGGTGGAGAAACACAGTTTCAGGGTGTATGGGTTGGACCCATCTGTAACCAAACACACACACACACACACACACACACACACACACACACACACACACACAAACATAGTTAGTATTAGAGGCTGTATTATAGCCATTAGCCCACTCTGTCACAGATATAGGGGTATTAGAAATGAGAAATGATAGCAGGGAGTGCAGTAAAGAGATTTTATACAGCTAAAACAAGTGTTCATTGAACTAAAATGGGAGGAGTCTTTATCTGTATGTCTGTCCTCTGATTTTCTTGACATCCGATCATCTGATTGTCTTCAACATTTGGCGGGTGTATTCCTGAGAACTCAAGGACCCTTTAGATGGATTAAATTATACCAGAAGCATGAAAAAAGAAAAAAGCGATCCGCACACCAAAAGAGCTCCCGTATGCAATTTTTTATTTTGCGTGACGTTTCGAGCTTGAAACTATGCAAAAAAAATTGCATACGGGAGCTCTTTTGGTGTGCGGAACGCTTTTTTCTTTTTTCATGCTTTTGATACTTTGTGATCCAGCACCCAACCCAGTGGACTTTGGGGATGTGCGTGTCCTATTTTTTACTTAAATTATACCAGCACAAAAATTCACTCAGATGGGGGGCTGTGCTAATATCATCGTAGTATGTTGCATCAATAGATGTCTGACCAAAACGGGCTTGCAAGTAAGCCCGGTTCTAGGCAGGCATATATGAGGGGGCAGTCATAAATGTGAAGGGGGCATCATGCTCCAGCACATTTTTGCCATAGGTAGAGCTGACAAATAAAGGTCACTCACTCACTCACTCACTCACTCACTCGCAGGATGTGGGGACGCTGTGTGAGTGCCCTATAGAGGGTGTTAAAGCACCGTGGTCTCAAATGTGCTTGCTGCTTGTTTTGTTGTTGATAACAGTGTTTTCTACATGGAATTGGGTTGTTGTTAGCTGTGTGTCCAACCCCCAACCTAAAGAAATGGATTGCACTTTGTCAGACCTCTACCCTAAGACCTGTCCAACTTGGGTGTCCCACCTGAAGACTAAGCTCCTGCTGGTATAGCTCTTAGGGTCACTGAGGCACGCAAACCCCCTAACCACGATAAGGTGGCAATCCCTCAGGGAGGAAAACTGAAAAATAAAATAAACAAAAAATAAAATAAAAATTAAGAAAAAATAAAATAAAAATATCCTTCATCCAGGCACAACCAACATCTTAACATTTATCTTATTGGATGGCCATTAGGCATCTAGACATATGAAATAAATTTGAACATAATAATCACAATAATCTCACTATAGCCAATATTTACCAAAGCTAGTCTTATAAAAAAAACTTCTCAAACTAACAGAACTAACAAACACAACAGATATAGGCCAGAGCAGAACATTTTATATTTTTTTGTTTTGTTTTGTTTTTTTGTCATTTTTTTTCCCTTCACTCCACTCTCCTTTGAGCTGCTGAAAGATGCAGGAGTGAAACGATAATAAAAGCTTTGTAAAAATCGCTGTGCAGAACTAGAGGCTGGGCGGGGCTTTATGTATGGGTCTGGCACACACAGGGCATTTGTCCTCAGTATGTGACATGCAGCAGGCACTCATCTCTCGCTGTGCTTGTGTGATTGAAGAAACGTTCGCACTGACAGGCTCACACTCTATGCTCACACAGCTATATTTACTTGTTTTTTGTTGTTAACTATATATTAAGTATCTCACGACACGAGACGCTACGACGAGTTTAACGGAGCTTCACATTACTGCTGCATTCTGCGTCACTGAGACGAGAAACCTGACGCCAATGCATCTTGGCTCATTTGCATACTAAACAGTGATTGGGTGTTTACTGGGGAGAGGGTCTCTGCCGACTGCAGACAGTAGATCACACACAGCCGGCACACAGCGTGGAGTGGAGACAGATGAGAAAACTTTTCCGTTTTGTGGCTTTTTCGGCGGATTTGATTTGAAGGGGCAAGATATTTGTTTAAGGGGGCATTGCCCCCTCTTGCCCCTGCGCAGAACTGGCCTCGCTTGCAAGACACACTAGCAGTTTCCATGTGTGTGAGACCACATATAATTATAGAAAACATGAACAGTATATTCTGTATTCACACTTGCCATGCATCACATAAACTGATCCCATATTGTATGTGTGTATTATTCAGTCTAGTTTACCTAATTTTCCAAGTTTTAGAAATAAATTAGAAAAAGTATGCCTCCACCAACCAGTCAAGTTGCAGTAAGAGTTTACATCCATGTCTGTCCAAACTCATATGTAGCCATGACAGTTGATAATGCTTCAAATATGGACGTTGCTGAAAAGAAGCTACATACTCATACAAACATGGATGCTTCACATGAACCCAAGATTAATATCACCCATTCAGTGTCTAACCAAATGTCTCCCCTTCTGTTCCTGAGCTATGACAATGAATAATGGCCAGAAGTGTTTTTGAAGAATATTATGATGTCACAGTGAAATTGACCTTTGACCTTTGGCATATAAAATGTCATCACTTCATCATTTTATTCTAATAGACATTTGTGTGAGGTTACAGTGACCTTGACCTTTGACCAACAAAATTTTGATCACTTCATTCATTGTTGAGTCTAAGTGGAAGTTTGTGAAAGTTCTCTAAAGGGCAGCCATAGCTGTCGCTGGTGCAGAGCCATAACTAGCCCATACTTTGCCACTCACTCCAACTTCTCAGTTTCATAAAAACAAATTAATTCATGATTTTTGCCCTGCCTCCTTACAAAGGTGCATGCTGGTATCCCATTATGAAAATGAACTCCGAGCACAGGCTAAGGCGGTGCTACGTCCTACAAAACCTCAGGCATCCAGGAGAAAAACTACATGTTTAGAGAGTCCCTCCCGAAAATAGCCTGCTCCCATGGCTAGCTGTTAGCAAATGTCGGGTACCATGTCATGGGAAGTTGTTTGGATGAGTGGTTCTCGAAAAAGCTGTTCTGAACAGGCATGTTTTCAAAGGGTACCGCACAATTAAAGATGAATCATTCATTGGTTACAAGTAAGTGAAACTGTAAGATATTCATTCAACCTTCAGGATACAGGTGCTGCCTTTATTTAATGATGATAAGAGTAAATGTAGCATATTGTAGTTCTGATTCAAATGCTAATTCTAGTGTAGTATATTCTAGTCTTGTTGTTTGTAGTTGTTTTTAATACTAATTTAATTTCTAGTAAAGTTTAAAGTTCAAGAAAACCTTATATTTGTTGTTAGTGTAATGTTTACTTAGCAGCTGTGCACTGTCAGTTTGGTACAAATCCTGTTCCCAATTCTTTAATAACCAATTTAAGGGACACTTATCAAAATGTTTTTATATGTTATGTGAAATGTAAAACACTTAATAAAATAGATAGCATATATTGTGGTATTATAGTCGGGTATCACTGAGGAAATTGGTCATACTGTATCTGTATAAACCACTGCTCATGTTTGACATATGACACTCTGCCACTTTGGACATTGAGTAAATGAATGGTTGTTGGATAGAAAATGTCTTTCAGACAGACTTACTGGGTATCCTGATCTGGTAGTGGTTAAGAACAGTAAGGACCTCCACAGCCTCCGTCTTACTGTCAAACTCCAACAAGCCAGAGATGGTCTTAGACGAGGCTAAGAGACAGATACACAGTGTGAGATCAAAAGAGAGCGGTAGATAAATTGAGAAGGACAGACAAAGTAGGAGTAGGAGGAGGGAGTAACATGTAATTAACACAATTGCTTTCAAATTCATCAGTTAACACAGAGCAGTAAAGAATCCTTTCACAGACTACAAAAGGAGAATGTGTACTTAATAAACATTAATAAGAACCTGAGTTCAAATTTTACTTACGTTTGGCATCAAACATCTTGAATTTGACGAAGCCAGGCACATCATGCTCCGTACACAGCTGCCACAAAAACACACAGCAGCTGATAAATAAGTAAAGCTCTGTTACTCTGTTAGGTTAGATGTAAAACTTCAGTTATCATGTACAGGAGGGTTTCATCACAGACAAGTCTCCATCTGTCCTCAGCAAGCAGCAACATATTCAAGACATTTACACACCGCTCCTGTCTAGATCATGACATTTCTCATCTCAGTGCATCTAAATATGAAATATTACTATCCTCATTTGGTTTGATGTTGAACCTGCAAAACATGGCAGTTTTTCAGGATGATATGTAAAAAAATGAAGAAAAGAAATATGTGAAAATATATGAACTGGCCAGTGTGAGCATGCAGGGCACTGCTGTCGGCCGAGCAGTCTCATTGAGGGGGAAGTAACCGGTATGCAAGAGTCGGGGTTGAGCAGGTATCTTTATTATCTTTAAATCTTTGCTTTTCTTTATTTTTGTATGATGCTGTGACATTGTGACCTGAGGTTAATGGGGTGTGATTCCTTTTAATTGCACAGGATGACGCGAGTTACCAGATCCAGGTCCTGTGTCGTCTGTTGAAGTGTCTACAATTAGTGCAGCGTAGGGAGGTGAGTGTGCACTGTAGCTGCGATTTATGTAAATGCATTTTTGTATTTGTTATCATAATTAATGGTATGATTTACTGTATAATCATTTGTCTGGTGTTGACAGTGACCCTTGAGTTGGAGCAAGTAATCTGCTCCAGTCCACTGTAGTGCATTTATTCTGAATTTAGTAGCCCTGTGAACCACACAGCATAGTTGTACTTTATACATCTTGTGCAATAGTGTCTATAATTGAAACGTTGTTGAAGATCCAGTTGGTTTCCTTTCTATATTTACTTCTTGTATTTTATCTATTTTTCTGTTTGGATAAATTGTAATGTAAGATTATTTTCATTTTCATAACTTTACAGCCTGCCTGCTGATTCTTCAGAAGTATAGAGTTACTGCAAGTAATCTTATCACAAGGTTAAAGTTTGGTGCTGTGAGCAGGGTCTACTTTGTAGAATACAGCAGCCTGAGTGGTAAAAGAGACAAGCTGGGTTTTGCATGGTGCTTGGGGTGTATGTGTTAGGGGTGAAAGTGGACTGGAGCAGTGCCGGTGTTGGAGTCATCACAGCAGGAGAAGCAAGATCAGCCATCACAGCAGCCTCCACCATTGTAACAGGTGTTTGTCTGCCTGCCCGGTGCGTCTGATAGGTAACAATGTCGGATGAGTTACAACAAAAGGTAAAAGCCCTTAAAGCCAGAGCACAGCTGGATAAGGAAACTATAGCTAAGCTGAAGGATGTCAATGACACTTTAAGAGAAGAATTAAGGGCTATGAATAACGCTCTTAACGGGCAGGCGGCAGATACTGGGAGCACATCGGCTATCTGCAGAGAGCGTATTAAGTATCTGCCTAAAGAAAAGAAATGTACAACTTTCACTGGTGGTACAAGTGCTACATTTTATGAGTGGTTGGATGAGTTAAATGCTACTCTGAGTTATCGCCCCTTTACTGGTGCCAAAAAGGCAGCATTCATTCATGAACAGCTGGGGGGAGAAGCTAGGCAGGAAATAAAGCATCAACCCCAAGCGGTACGGTACGGTCAGATCCAGACCAGGTGTTAGAAATTCTTAAAGAGATATATGGGCAGCCTCCATCGCTCACTAAGTTACAAAAACAGTTCTTTGACAGAAGGCAAAAAGAGGGTGAGTCACTGCGTGAGTACTCTCATGCGTTAATGGCTATCATTGGAGGAATTATGGAAGTAAAGTAAGTAAGGCGTGGGCTGGAGTGTTAGCTCTGCGGGACCAATTTGCTGAGAACATGTGTGATATTAGCCTTCGTAGGGAGCTTAAGACAGCAATTAGACAACAGCCTACTATATCTTTTTGTGATCTCCTTAAGGAAGCTCTCCTGTGGGAGGAGGAGGTTGAGCTTGGGGCAGAGCGACAGAAGAAAACGGTTCACTCCTGCAAGACAGAAGCTTCAGCAGGGGGGCCAAGCATCGTGACCGCTGCAATGGAGGTTAAACCTGACCCCACCCTTGCCAGGGTTTTAGGTATGTTAGGTATGGGGGGTGAAGTTCAAATGTTTGTTGGATACAGGGTCAAATATCTCCTCTGTTACTGCAAGCTTTTAACAACCAACATCTGAAACCAAAATTAGAAAAGGGGCTATATGACTGTAGCTGGTTGCATGCCCAGGGGTTGGACATTCCATACATTGGTTACTTTGAAACTGACATCGAGGCAGTGGCACTGGGCAAGACTATACCAGGGAGAGGTATAGTAGTGGTAGAAGATCTGGTTGGCGAAATTGCACAGCAGCACAAGCGAATGGTGCCAGGCCTAATTGGTATGAATGTGATTAAGAAGTGTTATGAGCTCATGCTCTGTGGTAAAAGTTCTGGCCCACTGCTATCCTCGGTGTCTGGTATGGACTGGGAGTACGCTTTCGCAGCATGCCTGAATGAGCAGGCAGTATCTTTTGAGAGTAAGTGTTAAGCGTCTGCTGCCTCCCCACCCTTGTTCCCGCTGGTTCAGTGTGTTTTGTCTCAGCGTCTGCACCCAATAGCAAGTTCTCCTCCCGGTCTTCTATGTTAGTCGAGCCTTTGGGGTTTGAGGAGGGGAGCTTGCCCAGAGGCATAGTGGTCTCCAGTGCATATGTGGAGGTTAGCAATGGCCATTTGGCTGTCCCAGTTATTAATGTTGGGAGCACTGACGTAAGGTTGAAAGCTTATACGCGCCTTGCGTCACTGCAAGCTGCTGAAGTTATAGCTGGGGAAGACATTTCAGTTTGTTTTGAGCGGGTGGAACCACAGCAAGAGCAAGTTATGATCAGGGAGCAGCAAGAAGCCACAGGGGTTCGAGAAGTGCCCCTGGAGATAGCCAAATTGTGCTTCCCTGGGCTTTCTGACAGTCAGGCAGAACAAGCTAGACAACTCTTTCACATGTTTTTGCTTCTTCTGATAGTGACTTGGGGTGCACCAATCTTATCCAACATGAAATCCCTGTGGTTGACGAAGCACCTGTGTGTGAGAGATATCGGAGAATCGCCCCTAGCCAGTATGAAGAGGTGAAAAATCATATCAAGAAGCTTTTAGCGCAGGGACTGATAAGACAAAGTAGTAGCCCATACTCTTCCCCCCTGGTGATAGTTCAGAAAAAAGATGGGTCCATCCGTTTGTGTGTCGACTACAGACGGTTGAATGCGAAGACTCGAAAGGATGGGTATCCACTTCCACACATTGAAGAATCCTTGGACTCCCTGAGTGGCACGAGGTTGTTTTCTACACTGGATTTGGCAAGCGGACATAACCAGGTGGAGGTGGCGGAGAAAGATCGGCAGAAGACAGCATTCTGCATACTGTTCGAGTTGTACAAATTCAACAGAATGCTGTTCGGTTTGTGCAACGCACCAGGGACGTTTCAGCAGCGTATGGAGCGTATCTTGGGAGATCAGCGGTTTCAAGCCTTGCTGCTCTATTTGGATGATGTTGTTGTTTTCTCTTCAACATCTGAGCAACACCTGCAGCGATTAGATCTGGTCCTCTCACAGGTCGAGCAGTTCAACCTAAAGGTGAAGCTCGGCAAGTGCTCATTCTTCCAGTCAGAGGTGTTGTATCTGGGTCACATAATTTCGGCACAGGGGTTGGCAACTGACCCAGAGAAGATTAAGGTGGTGGCAGAGTGGAGAAGCCCTCGTTATGGGGCTGAGTTGCAGTCTTCCTTGGCTTCGCAAGCTTCTATAGACAGTTTGTGAGGGACTTCGCAAGCATAGCTGCTCCCCTTCACGCCCTCTCTGCCTTGGGCTTATTCAAGAAAAACCAGCAGTGGCAGCCCCTACCGGCATGCCTATTCGAGCAGCACTGGCGCCCTGCGTGTGAAATGGCATTTCAGACCCTCAAGCAGAGACTAGTGTCCGCCCAGGTGTTGGCGTATGCAGATTCTTCCAAACCCTTTACCTTAGAGATTGATACCAGTCACCAGGGGCTGGGAACTGTCCTGTCTCAGGAGGTCGACGGACAGAGGAGGCCAATAGCATACACAAGCAGGGGGTTCCGGGGAGCAGAGAGGAATATGGAAAATTACAGTGCCATGAAGCTGGAGATGCTGGGCCTTAATTGGGCTGTTACAGACAAATTTCGAGATTATTGTATTGGCAAGAAATTCACCATTCTGACTGATAACAATCCACTGAGCCATCTGCAGACTGCAAAATTAGGAGCTGTGGAGTAGTGGTGGGTCTCAGAGTTGGCCCGATTTGACTATGAGATAGTGTACCACCCTGGCCGGCAGAATGCAGCAGCTGATGCTTTGTCCAGGGAGTACTCAGAGCCACTCTCGGATGAGGGGGACCCCCACTCAGACAACTACTCTGCCCTACTCGCCCTCCAGCTTATCAAGTGTGATGAACAGGCAGCAGGGCCCTCCACCCCAGTACTTGAGGAAAGTGGCCACTTCAGGATCAGCCTGTTGTAGTCTGGCTAGAGACTGTGCACTACAGAGCAGGAAACTGGTGGCTTTCCTCAAGTACTGGGTAGAGCAGAAAAACCCAACCATGGAGAGCGGCTGGGCGAATCGTCAAGAACATTAGAGCTGTTGCACCAGTGGGAGAGGGTGGTAGAGTGTGATGGGGTCCTGTATCACCAACAAGAAAAGCCAGGGGAGGGCCCACAGAGATTAGCCCACATTATTGGCCAGGAATGTACAGAGATGTTAAGGAATTTTGTAAATCCTGCGAGAGGTGCATTGTCTCTAAGGCGCCCCAACCCAAGGTTGTGACATCTATGGGCAGCTTGTTGGCGTCCCAGCCGCTGGAAGTGGTGGCAATGGACTTCACAGTGTTGGAACCCTCTTCGGATGGGAGGGAGAATGTTTTCATTTTGACCAACGTGTTTTCCAAATTCACAATGGCCATTCCAACCCGAGATCAGCGGGCCACCACCGTGGCCAAGTGCCTGGTTAAGGGGTGGATTTAACCCTATGGCATGCCAGCCCAATTGCACTCAGACCAAGGCAGATGTTTTGAAGCAGAGGTGGTGCAGTTGCTCTGTAAGTTGTATGGAATGTGGAAGAGTCGAACAACTCCCTACCACCTGCAGGGAAACGGCCAGTGCGAGAGGTTTAATGGAACACTCCACGACCTGCTACGTGCTCTCCCTCATGAGAAGAAAAGGAGGTGGGCCGAGTATCTCCCAGAAGTGGTATATGCATACAACACGACACAGCATCAAAGCACGGGATATTGCCCTTACTTTCTCCTGTTCGGGCGGGCACCCTGCACACCTCTAGATATCACTCTGGGCTGAGGAGAGGAGCAATTTGGCGGAGGAGTTAAGGAATGTATATACAGTACAGGCCAAAAGTTTGGACACACCTTCTCATTCAATGCGTTTTCTTTATTTTCATGACTATTTACATTGTAGATTCTCACTGAAGGCATCAAAACTATGAATGAACACATGTGGAGTTATGTACTTAACAAAAAAAGGTGAAATAACTGAAAACATGTTTTATATTCTAGTTTCTTCAAAATAGCCACCCTTTGCTGATTACTGCTTTGCACACTCTTGGCATTCTCTCGATGAGCTTCAAGAGGTAGTCACCTGAAATGGTTTCCACTTCACAGGTGTGCCTTATCAGGGTTAATTAGTGGAATTTCTTGCTTTATCAATGGGGTTGGGACCATCAGTTGTGTTGTGCAGAAGTCAGGTTAATACACAGCCGACAGCCCTATTGGACAACTGTTAAAATTCATATTATGGCAAGAACCAATCAGCTAACTAAAGAAAAACGAGTGGCCATCATTACTTTAAGAAATGAAGGTCAGTCAGTCCGGAAAATTGCAAAAACTTTAAATGTGTCCCCAAGTGGAGTCACAAAAACCATCAAGTGCTACAACGAAACTGGCACACATGAGGACCGACCCAGGAAAGGAAGACCAAGAGTCACCTCTGCTTCTGAGGATAAGTTCATCCGAGTCACCAGCCTCAGAAATCGCAAGTTAACAGCAGCTCAGATCAGAGACCAGATGAATGCCACACAGAGTTCTAGCAGCAGACCCATCTCTAGAACAACTGTTAAGAGGAGACTGCGCTAATCAGGCCTTCGTGGTCAAATAGCTGCTAGGAAACCACTGCTAAGGAGAGGCAACAAGCAGAAGAGATTTGTTTGGGCCAAGAAACACAAGGAATGGACATTAGACCAGTGGAAATCTGTGCTTTGGTCTGATGAGTCCAAATTTGAGATCTTTGGTTCCAACCGCCGTGTCTTTGTGAGACGCAGAAAAGGTGAACGGATGGATTCCACATGCCTGGTTCCCACTGTGAAGCATGGAGGAGGAGGTGTGATGGTGTGGGGGTGTTTTGCTGGTGACACTGTTGGGGATTTATTCAAAATTGAAGGCACAATGAACCAGCATGGCTACCACAGCATCCTGCAGCGACATGCCATCCCATCCGGTTTGCGTTTAGTTGGACCATCATTTATTTTTCAACAGGACAATGACCCCAAACACACCTCCAGGCTGTGTAAGGGCTATTTGACCAAGAAGGAGAGTGATGGAGTGCTGCGGCAGATGACCTGGCCTCCACAGTCACCGGACCTGAACCCAATCGAGATGGTTTGGGGTGAGCTGGACCGCAGAGTGAAGGCAAAGGGGCTAACAAGTGCTAAACACCTCTGGGAACTCCTTCAAGACTGTTGGAAAACCATTTCAGGTGACTACCTCTTGAAGCTCATCGAGAGAATGCCAAGAGTGTGCAAAGCAGTAATCAGAGCAAAGGGTGGCTATTTTGAAGAAACTAGAATATAAAACATGTTTTCAGTTATTTCACCTTTTTTTGTTAAGTACATATCACTCCACGTGTTCATTCATAGTTTTGATGCCTTCAGTGAGAATCTACAATATAAATAGTCATGAAAATAAAGAAAACGCATTGAATGAGAAGGTGTGTCCAAACTTTTGGCCTGTACTGTATATATATATATATATATATACACACATTAGGGCTGGGCGATATGGCTGAAAAATGTATCACGATATAAGTGTTTCATATCAGTCGATATCGATAATTATTGAATTTTTTAAAACCTATTTGAAATAAGGACCAGAAGAAAAAAATGTTAAATTTGAACACTCTTATTTTAAATATAACCTTTCCTCAGTAATGAACAAACGAACACAGGGGAAAAAGAGGTCAACATAACCATGAAAAACAGTCAAATAAATAAATATATTGGTTAATTATAAAATCCGAAGTTCTGCCAAACTGGCGAACTGACCTTTCCTAGACAGAGTCTACTGTATATTAACATTTAAAATAACGTGTACAGATGTGAAGCCCTGGCTGTATCTGACTGACCCTTAATGAAAGCTGTTGTCTTGTATTTTTTTTCCTCTGAAAATATGAACCTTATAGTCAAACACAGTGTATTCAGCCTGTGTAGTTGAGGGGACAGGTCAAACTGATATGATGCTGATTTACAGGAGAATTCATGTCAAATGGAGGTTAAACCATGAACATAAACTACAGATCACCTGTAAAGCATTTTAATAAATTAATCTATCATAATTAAAACAACTGGAGACTGAAAACAAACTGATATATGGGTCTGATCACTTTTTTAATGAATTGACATCATTCCAGACAGGATGTTAGTGTGTCTGTGACTTCCTGTACGGACCGAAGGCTGCTGGAAACTGTCAGGAAACTGTCCGACTTCACCGCGGCTTTTTGTCACCTCCCCCCGATGCGGCCGCTTGCTCTCGTCTACTTGAAGTGGATACTATTTATTACAGTTATAGCTTTGCTTAAGAGATGCAAAGAGATGTCACAAGCTAGCCTTGATCTAGCAAATCAACCTTTTCTTAATGTGAAGAGAGCAATGCAGAACTTAAAACTGTAAAACCTAAGAGCTGTTTAAGTTTAGTTGCAAAGGGAGAGGGGCTGGCAACTTGGAGGCAAAGTATTTTTTCCTTACAGAAAAACAGGACATTTATCAGACAGAAGCTGCATACCCTCAATAAATGGTCCTGTGATATGCATGGAGGAACGTTGTAGTAGTGTAGCACTGCAGATGGAGGCTGGATGATGTTTTTGGAGGCCTGTCCGGCACTGCTGAAGCGGTTGTTCCTGGTCATGGCAAAGTCCTTATAGCTGCTGCTGCCGTCCTCTAATTCAAACACCTGACTGGGGATGACTGCATGCTGCTTAGACACACTGCACACAACACAACACCTGTGTTACCACATCCAACTCAAGTCAAATACATGAATTTTACATTGCAGAGCTGAAATACTAACTAAACCTGAAGAGCATGTTACACACATGCAGAAAAAAGTGATTGGGTTAATTTCTAATAATTAAATACCCAATAAAGTTTACTGTTTCAGTGCACTAATGTCATTTATGACAATTTGTGACCTGGCTGCCATGTTGAATACCGTTAACAGGTGTACTAAGCACTTCCCACCAGTCAGACCAACTTTTACATTTTCCAGCTAAATAGTCACTAAAAAAGTTTCTGAAAACATCTGGAGAGAAATAGGCAATGCAGTAACAGAATCTTGATTCATATTTGATCAGCGCTGCCTAGTTTGAGTGCAGTATATTCATTCATTCAGTAATTGACATGATTGACAGCTGTGTTAGCGACTGCTCTGCTTTGATTGGTTGTTGCTGCCCCACTGAAGTCTGATTTTAGTGAATGCCATTAGAGGTGGTATGAAAAAGGACATGATTTTTTTTTCCACAGACTATCTGTGTCATGTACTACTTTCAGAATATAGTGCCAATTTCAGCAAATATGACACAAAGTTATTTTCATAAGAGTTACTAACTGGAGCTTTAAGGGCAGAATAACGAATTAAAAAAATAATGAAGAGACTGACAAATCTATAAAAACAAAGGTCCTATATGTAAGACTTTAAGTCGTGCAGTAGATCATTTCTGGCCTTTCAGTTTGCCAGATAATCAGTAACTTTCTCTCTATTTCTAACACTGATTAATGTGAAATATTCAGCACATTTACATTTGACACACATGGTGAAAGATATGGAACTTTAGAAATCATAGAACAATGTGTGTGCATAGATGTACTTCTCACCAGACATTGAGTCTCTTGCCAAACACCTTGATGCTGTTGAGGTGTGTGATGGCTCTGTCCACAGCATACTCATCCCCCATCTCAACCAGCGCTGTGCCAGGAACACTCTTCATAAACTTTACCTACAGACACACACACACACACACACACACACACACACACACACACACACACAGGGACACACTTAACACTTAACCTAACAGCTGTCTTACATAAGCAACATACATTAGTCACCTTTACAAATGTAACACTTGTAAACACTGAATGGGTTCACAAAGTTTGTCTGGTACCCAAATGGACACTGAAACAGGTTTGGCTTGCGGTAATTATTCCTTTATACTGGACTTTAAAAGAATATTTCACCCCCTAAATGATCATTTGTATGTCAATGACTCATCACGTTACATTGAATGTGGAAAGAAAACTCTTTTTCTCGCATGCCTCGATGAACAGTGAACAAGAAATCCAATAAAGGCGAACATTCTTGATGAATTTAAGTCACAGGGATCCACATTTATCAAAAGCAAAACTATATCCAAACATCAGTTTACAAAATCTCACACAATTCCCGCAGTACAATCTAAATCTTATTTATCCAGTCTTATGCTCAGTACTTCCCATAAACAATCTCACTCACAGACAAGCAGCACAGACGTAGCATACCACAGAATAAATGAGACTTGGACTATACTGCAGGGGTTGTGTGAAAGTTTGTAAACTGATTTTGAAATAGTTTTGCTGTTGTTAATCATGGACCCCTTTGACTTCAGTTCATCAAGAAATGTTTGCCCTTTTTGGATTCCTTGGAGACATGCAAGACAAACAAGGTTTTCTTCCTGAATTCAATGAAACACAGTGTGAGTGATGAAAAATGAGTATTCCTTTAAGAGCAGTGTTGGGGGTAAAGCATTACAAAAGTAAGGCGTTACAGTAATACATTACGTTTTAGCATTAATGAAGTAATATAGTGCGTTACCAACAGGATTTCAGGTAATAATATTACATTTACAAAGTCATGTAACGCGTTGAAATATAACAGTTTATTGGAATCAACTGTTAATTGTTTTCATTTTTCATTTATCCACAATGATCCATCCGCCAGTGCACCACCAAAATTAAAATAATACCCCGAACGTTGTTGTGTGTTGTTATGTGCTACAAGAAGGGTGCTGCCGGTGATCGGCACATTTGGGTCATGCTGTGGCGTACTGTGTGTTATCATATTCAGTGTGTTTCAGATACCTGCAACATCTACAATGTACCCTGTTCTGTTTCTGTGTCCTACGGCCGCCTGAAAGCAGCAGGGATGAGGAGCTGGCCTACGTTTGTTTTTTCCTCGTCCCAGTGATTGGCACATCTAGGTGATGTTAGTGTATGTTGAATGTTAACTTTCACATCCCCTACAACTGCAGAGCAACACCGGCACAAAGTCCCGTTCTTATGCATAACTCTCTGGTGCTGCTGTAGCAGACCAGCACACCAGGAACCGGCAGGTGGGTCTTCCAGCTCCGTTGTATTAACTTGCGCTCCTCATGGTGATTTACTCACGCACCATTCCGTTTGCTGCGCTACCCTCAACATTTGTTTATTGTGTTTCATATGATAGGCCCACACATACAGTACAGGCCAAAAGTTTGGACACACCTTCTCATTCAATGCGTTTTCTTTATTTTCATGACTATTTACATTGTAGATTCTCACTGAAGGCATCAAAACTATGAATGAACACATGTGGAGTTATGTACTTAACAAAAAAAGGTGAAATAACTGAAAACATGTTTTATATTCTAGTTTCTTCAAAATAGCCACCCTTTGCTCTGATTACTGCTTTGCACACTCTTGGCATTCTCTCCATGAGCTTCAAGAGGTAGTCACCTGAAATGGTTTCCACTTCACAGGTGTGCCTTATCAGGGTTAATTAGTGGAATTTCTTGCTTTATCAATGGGGTTGGGACCATCAGTTGTGTTGTGCAGAAGTCAGGTTAATACACAGCCGACAGCCCTATTGGACAACTGTTAAAATTCATATTATGGCAAGAACCAATCAGCTAACTAAAGAAAAACGAGTGGCCATCATTACTTTAAGAAATGAAGGTCAGTCAGTCCGGAAAATTGCAAAAACTTTAAATGTGTCCCCAAGTGGAGTCGCAAAAACCATCAAGCGCTACAACGAAACTGGCACACATGAGGACCGACCCAGGAAAGGAAGACCAAGAGTCACCTCTGCTTCTGAGGATAAGTTCATCCGAGTCACCAGCCTCAGAAATCGCAAGTTAACAGCAGCTCAGATCAGAGACCAGATGAATGCCACACAGAGTTCTAGCAGCAGACCCATCTCTAGAACAACTGTTAAGAGGAGACTGCGCCAATCAGGCCTTCATGGTCAAATAGCTGCTAGGAAACCACTGCTAAGGAGAGGCAACAAGCAGAAGAGATTTGTTTGGGCCAAGAAACACAAGGAATGGACATTAGACCAGTGGAAATCTGTGCTTTGGTCTGATGAGTCCAAATTTGAGATCTTTGGTTCCAACCGCCGTGTCTTTGTGAGACGCAGAAAAGGTGAACGGATGGATTCCACATGCCTGGTTCCCACTGTGAAGCATGGAGGAGGAGGTGTGATGGTGTGGGGGTGTTTTGCTGGTGACACTGTTGGGGATTTATTCAAAATTGAAGGCACACTGAACCAGCATGGCTACCACAGCATCCTGCAGCGACATGCCATCCCATCCGGTTTGCGTTTAGTTGGACCATCATTTATTTTTCAACAGGACAATGACCCCAAACACACCTCCAGGCTGTGTAAGGGCTATTTGACCAAGAAGGAGAGTGATGGAGTGCTGCGGCAGATGACCTGGCCTCCACAGTCACCGGACCTGAACCCAATCGAGATGGTTTGGGGTGAGCTGGACCGCAGAGTGAAGGCAAAGGGGCCAACAAGTGCTAAACACCTCTGGGAACTCCTTCAAGACTGTTGGAAAACCATTTCAGGTGACTACCTCTTGAAGCTCATCGAGAGAATGCCAAGAGTGTGCAAAGCAGTAATCAGAGCAAAGGGTGGCTATTTTGAAGAAACTAGAATATAAAACATGTTTTCAGTTATTTCACCTTTTTTTGTTAAGTACATAACTCCACGTGTTCATTCATAGTTTTGATGCCTTCAGTGAGAATCTACAATGTAAATAGTCATGAAAATAAAGAAAACGCATTGAATGAGAAGGTGTGTCCAAACTTTTGGCCTGTACTGTATTTATCCATATCTCAGAATTATGAGACTTTGATCTCTACTGACCCTTCCTGTTTTCAAGGCTATTCATTTATTTAAAAAGGTCTAGGCTATTCAATCGTTCTTTATCATTTTTTTCACGTTAATACAAAGTGGTAACCACTGTATGTGAATGCATGAATGGATCAGACCTGCGCCGCACTGGATTTGGAATGAACTGTAATAAACTAGAGCTTATTTGATTAGCTGCTGTGAAACAACATGACCCTCATCCATTTAAAATAAACATTAGATCTTCTAAGCTCATTTTGGTTAAAGTAACGCAAAAGTAGTGTAGTAAGTAACTTATTACTCTATGCAGAGAGTAATATTGTAAAGTATTATTATTACTTCCAAATGAAAGTAACTAGTAATATGTAATATATTACATTTTGAAAGTAACTTGCCCAACACTGTTTAAGAAATCACTTCCTACTGTGCTTCCAATGTACGTGATGTGGACAAAATCCACAGTCCTGGTTCTGTGTAAAAACTATATTGGATTGAGGATGTCCCCAAAAATGACATAAAGCTCCAGTCTGGATTTGACAGGTGAAATAGTCCTTTCAGTGAAGTGACAGAGTCTACTCATATACAGTATTCTGATAACAATGTAGGGAAGTCGAGAACATAATGGACATGAAACAGCAAAAGTTGTTAAAGACACACTTTAAAGTAGGGGTGTCACGATATATATAATAAATATATAAATATATATACATATATACATATATAAATGACATACTGATATCAAGTTAATAATACATATATGGGGGCGTCGGTACCGTAGTGGATAGTGCCGGCGCCCCATGTGTAGAGGCGATGCCTTGCTGCAGCGGTTGCCAGTTCGACTCCGGCTTGCAACCCTTTGCTGCATGTCGTCCCCCCACTCTCTCCCTCTCCCCCATCTTTCACACTGTCCTGTCCATTAAAGGCAAAACGTCCCAAAAAAAAATCTTTAAAAAAATAATAATAATACACATATGATAATATTCTGTAAATAATCCAGTACCTCTTAAATAACCTCTGTTGCTTTCCATTCTCACTTTGTCTCCCTCTCCACCTCCCTACACTAGTATTTTAAGCACAATTCATTTGCCAAAAAATAGTCAAATGCACAATAAACAACGTTAAAGATAAATCTGACTGATGGCATTTTGTAATCCTAGGTATTTAGGGTCCGGGCAGCTAAACTGCCAGGACACTATTGTAATCCCAGGTATTCTTTGTCTTTCTTCTTTCTTCTTCCGAGGAAATCATACTTCCCATGGGTTTTCACCCATGTCTTTGAGGTTGTGAGTTCAAGCCTCAGCTGATGCAAAAGGCAGATTATGTTGCTAAATTCCTAAATGTCTTCCAATTCTTCTGCTTGTTGCTCAGAATTGCCTAAAAATGCCCGGACCCGACCCATCGCTGCGCAGCAGCTATAATTAGGGTCCGGGCAGCTAAGCTGCCAGGACACTATTGCAATCCTAGGTATTCTTCTTCTTCTTTCTTCTTTCTTCTTCCGAGGAAATCATACTTCCCATGGGTGAATACTCATCAAACTTTGCACAAAGGTCCAGTCTCACTCAAAATTCTAGAGTCATGGTAGATGATGTGTGGCAAATTTCAGAATTTTATCTCAAAAATGAATGAATTTTTGACAGCATTTTGAATTTTTGACAGCATTTTGAATTTTGCTCTAATGTGAACAATTGGAGTCAATGTAAAAATGGCAATTTTAAACATTAGTTTTTCACTTATGGAGCAAATCAATCATTGTTACAAACAAATTACCAACATCTCCATGCTGTCTAGATGCAATATGTGTATTTTCAGATTTTTGTCTTAATAACTGAATTTTTTACAGTGGTTTCAAATCTGCCTTTCCATGCATGGATGGCTGCTTTCCTATACAACAGTGAATGGTTTACTCAATTTGTGAAGCCACTGTTGAGTTGCTACTTGCCAATTAGCTCAGAGCGGTAGATGACCGTTTTAGGTTCCAGAGGTTGCGGGTTCGAGCCTCAACTGGTGCAGAATCCACATTGTAATGTAATCATCTTCTTGTGCTCCAGCTTATTGCTTAAAATTGCCTGAGCCTGACTCATCGATGTTCAGCATCTACAAGTCTTCTTCCTGCTAGAAAATCTGCCTTCTCATGCTTGAAAATAAACCAAACTTTGCACAAAGATCCAGTGTCAACACTTCAGTGTGAAACCATCTGAGGCTTCTCACTTTGCACATAGCTCAACTAGTTAAACATCAGTTTTTCACTTATGAAGCAAATCAATCATTGTTAAAATAAATTATCAACATCTCCATGCTGTCTAGATGCAATATGTGTATTTTCAGATTTTTAACTGAATTTTTTACAGTGGTTTGAAATCTGCTTTTCCATGCATGGACGGCTGCTAAACCTGCACGTCTGGCTTAGTCAATTTGTGAAGCTACACATGAATTGTCACTGACTAATTAGCTCAGTGAGATAGAAATTGATTCTTAGTCTCAGAGGTTGTGAGTTCAAGGCTCAGCTGATGCAAAAGGCAGATTGTGTTGCTAAATTCCTAAATGTCTTCCAATTCTTCTGCTTGTTGCTCAGAATTGCCTAAAAATGCCCGGACCAACCCATCGCTGAGCAGCAGCTATAATTATTATTGTATTTTCTCTAGATATAATTATAGTACTCTCTTTAATTTTTTTTTGGTCCAGGATAATCATTCAATGAAGATCTGATATCATTCCATACCTACTTAAAGATTTACTATGCAGGAATTGTTGGATACCAAGCACATGCACAGATAGACCCCAGGTGGTGCTCAAGCACCTGCCCCTTTGCCCTCTGACTAGACAAGAACCTTTTTTGCAAGACATGTTTTTTCTGTTTCTTTCACTAATTCTATATTTTAAATTTTAAATTTGGCCCATGGTATCAATTCTCAAATACTGCTTATTATATGCTCAACAACTGCATTTGATTTCTAAGTCTGCCAGACTTCAAAACCCCCTTCCCCTTCCTCTTCAACGTCCCTTGTAATTACCGCCAAGTTAATGCGTGCAAATCAAGCACCCTGCAGAGCAGCATCATGTCTCTCTGACCTGCCTTCATTAACAGCTGAAGTTAAAAGTCTCTGCGTTATTTTGGACAGCACCCTCTCATTCACATCCCACATCAATAACATCTCACGCACAGCCTTTTTCCATCTCGCAATATCTCCAGACTTCGTCCCTCCCTAACCCAGCACTCCACTGAAGTCCTCATAAATGCTCTAGTCACTTCTCGCCTGGATTACCACATAAACTCATTCACCGTCTACAATCCATCCAGAACTCTGCTGCCAGAATCATCACTCGTACAAAGTCCTCGGACCACATCACACCATTCAACTCCACTGGCTCCCTGTCCAACAACGGATACAATACAAGCTCCTGTTAACATTCAAAGCTCTCCATAACCAGGCTCCCCCATATCTCTCTAATATGTTACACCCTTACATCCCACCCCGTTAACTCCGTTCCTCATCTGCTGCTCTGCTTTCTACACCTCCATTCACACTCAGTTCAATGGGTGCTTGGGCTTTTAGCTGCTCAGCACCTAGACTCTGGAACTCACTCCCACTACACATCCACATTCTGAACTCTACTGACACCTTCAAGTCCCACCTCAAAACACACCTTTTTAAAATGTCCTACTCCCTATAATACTCTGTCCCCCAACTGTTTTATCCTCCTTATCTATTCATTTAGCCACATTGTATTTTCTTTGTTTTTTTTAAAAATATATCTCTTGTGCTATTGTATTTTATGTCTATTTTTGCTATTGTTTTTCTCTGTAAGGTGACCTTGGGTGTTGTGAAAGGCACCAACAAATAAAATGTATTATTATTATTATTATTATTATTATTATTATTATCATCACCATTATCACTACAGCCAGGTAACGATAGTGTTTGCCTTAAGCCTCAGCATCATTTGTCGCTGTTATGTGATTAGACTACTATTAAAATATCTCAATACAGCCAGCCTTATTCAGGCAATAACCCACCATTAAGATTATCTAGTAGCAGTAAGTAAGCTAGTCTGGCATAAAATCACACCGTCTCCCTCAAGCTCTGGCTGATTCCAGTTCACTGCCTGGTGTGAGCGGAGACAGACGCCAAATTTCTTTCATGCTTCCATTTATCTTTAAAAACAACCTTAACTTGAAAAAAGGTTTAAGTTTTCCGCTCCTGATATTTCATTTAAACAAATCTGAAATGTGGTTTGGTGCTGCACATGCTGTGTGCCCTGAGCACAGAGGAGGAGCTGCAGCTGCTGCCGGCATCTGTTCTCCGGAATTCTTAAAGAATATTAAAAGTGTTTTCAGAACACAATTATAAGAATTAGTGTTAACTAATTCTTAGGCGGTGGACTGAATTTTAAAAACGTGAATTTAATTTTATTTCTAAACCAACTGGAAATAAAGCAACATTTGACTGGGTCAGAGTTAAATTAAAGAGTTCTGCAAGGAAAGTAAGAACAAAAGAAAAAAAAAGAAAAACAAGCCCTTCAACAAGGCATGTAGAAAAGAAACATGTTTGTAGGGGGCTGAATTTAATGTGAATGAACCAAACTTTGCCCAAAAAAGTTTATCTTAAGCACTCTGTGGATTTCATGTCTAGCTGAAGAACTCTGAGACAGAACTCATCCTCGGTGTGTCTGTGTGTCAGAGCAGCTTTTACTCTGTACATCCAGAGCCATTTCAATCTCACTGCAGAACACAGTCACAGTAAAACATGTGTTGACTCAGCAGGAATAACAGTAAATTTGAAAAGTTGATCTATTGGAGAATAAACATCTGAAAGCAATACAGAATGCCTGAGAGTCTCAAACGACTGCATTATATTCCGTCATATGTTTATTTTGAATTGTCACCTGCAGCCTGAATTTTGTTTTCCTTTACACAAATTAATACATTTCCACTATAAATTAATGCAGAAAAATTCACCAGAATGCAGGAAATGAAGTGTCTGAGGCTCAAAATTTCCTGGGGAGGACCCCCAGACCCCCCAACTTAATATCTGACCCCTACAATTTTTAAACAAAATTACACCCTTGTCTGCATCACGGCATGGGTATTGAAATAAATTAATATATATATGTAAGTCAGTAAAAGATGTGGTACTGTGTGTAACTTTATGTGTTTTGTTTATCATCATGAGAGGGGGCGCTTTTTTTTTTTTTTTTTTTTTTTTTTGCTTGAGCACCTGCCCCCAAAAATGTCTGTGTACGGCACTATTGGATACTGTTTATAAAAACTATCATTTACATTAAAGTAAAAGCCAACCTCACATTAACTCTGGTTTTGAAACAAACTTTGTCTGCTTGGCATCTCCCCTTGCTATCTTTGTGTTTTTTGGAGCTGTGTCCACCATTTCCATAGCTTCCTCATGGATGCCTGCTGCTTACAGTCTCACACCTGATCTCTACCTTTTTAAACGGTCCTAACCTCACCTACACGCTGTGCCCAGGGACGTCCCCAACACAGCACAAAATAAGAAAATACAGGCAGGTTCAGAGTCTCTGCAGATAAATACATCACCACACACTGAGAGTGGGTCAGTGATTGAGAGGGATTACTTCTGTACGAGCCCATACATTGTTTTATATGAAACTCCTGCACAGTATGCCTTTAAGAAAACAAATATACCTACCTTCTCAATGTTGCCGTAGAGGCAGAAAAGGTTGAAGATGCGGGTGCAATTCATCTTGGAAGAATGGAGGCCGCTCACCATGGCAACAGAGCTGGGGGCATGGCCCGAGTATGAGGAGGATGACTGGGGCAGAGGGTATGACACCATGTCCGGAACATCCACTGAGGTGAGCTTGTACCTGCTGTTGCCAGGCAGAGGCAGCAGGGGGCAGGGTGGACCTGAGGAGGCAGAGACAACAGAAGCTGAAATGAATGCCAAGAGTACAATACTGCCTCTGTCTGTTTTTATTGTTAGATGTGTTAACTTAACTTAACTCTTCTATTATATTATTTACGGTTCTCATCCCTGTGCCACTCTAGAGGAAAAATGGTTCTCCTCCATGCGGACGGGACGCATGCGCAGTGGGAGTTAGTGAAACGAATGTAAACTCTGAGGTTGTACTGGTACTGGTGGCTATAACCACATGTTGAGTCAATAAAAGTGACTAAAAGAAATAAACGTCGTGTTTATTCAAGTAAGAGTTAAGATGTGTCTTTAAAAAAATATAGCAATCCTTTTAACAGGAACCCCCTGTCATGACCTAAACTAAGAGTAACCTTAGTCAGAAGTGTTAAAACTGTACATTCAATTCCAGCACAGCAGACAGCAATGATTAAGAGAGAGTCTAATGAATCACATTAGGTTCAATTCCTCTCTCGAGATTCAAAGAGTCCCACATTGCCCTCTAGTAACCATTGAATATGTAACAATAGTTGTCTCATGATGTACATTCATCTTTTTATGTTATTTCTCCTTTAATGTTGCCATTACTTTAATATTTCTCCTTGCTGAGCTGCAGCAGAACATGGAAACACAGAGAGAATTTTGTACTTAACAGATTCCCGCTTGATTTGGCTGATAAAGCTCAACTTCACTATGCATTTTTACACGGAATGAGGACAATTTCTTGCAGTATAGTCATGCTAGGGAGGGAAAACTCAACAGCCAATACTTTAAGAAGAGGAGGAATCAACATACATATGATTTACAGTGTGAGTTTTGTATTAGTTTTTCTTTTTTTAAAGATATTTTTGGGGGCATTTTAGCCTTTAATTGATAGGACAGTCAAGCGTGAAAGGGGGAGAGAGAGAGAGAGGGAGTGACGTGCAGCAAACGCCCACAGGCTGGAGTCGAACCCAGACCGCTGCGGCAACAGCCTTGTACATGGGGCACCTGCTCTACCACTAAGCCACAGACACCCCTGAATTAGTTTTCCTTGATTACTCAGACACATTTCTTGAAATCATGCTCAATTTCCCAAAACTCTAAACCATAAACTGCACACACATCTTCACAAACTTCAAAATTCACTGTCAGAACGAAAATACATCTTACATCTTACATCTACATCAAACAGACCAGGCCAACTTGTAAGGGCAACTAAATGTTTCTAAAGCAGTAACAGTGATATTAAAACAGCAAAGTCACTTTTTTTTCATTGAAAACAAATGTAAAATGTCAATAAATCATATTCCTGACATCACAATACTGAGTGAAGTTTAGAAAGACTAAGGAACACAGACATCAGTCAGTATCAGTCCTGCTGTCCTCTCTGCTCCTCCCTCTGCTGTTGAGGAGATTCTCTGCCTGCAGGTCGCATTACCGTTGGTAAGTGTTAAGATACGAGGCAAACTGAGCTAAACCATTTGACATAAACTGTTGTTGTTGTTGTTTTAGCTTTAGTAACAATTTGCTATTAGCTGGAAAGCCTCTGTGCTTGTTTATAACGTAATATTAGCGGTGCTGGATGAGGGACTGCAGACAGAGCAGATTGAAATGTCACTTTTCTACATGTTACTGATAAGCTGTATTGATAAAGTATTGACTTTTTCCTTGCAGAGGTTTTATTGCACTCACAGTAACAAGCTCAAGCTCGTCAGGGAGCTGTCTCTGTGTCAGCTCCCTGACACAGAGACAGCAGGAGGAGAGGCTGCAGCACCATCATAATAAATTACACCAAAACATAAAAAAGTAAGCTAACAGTTAGATATTTAAAAAATCGGTAATGTAGGAGCTTCTCAATACTAAGGTCCTTAATAAGTTAGCACCAGGGCTTGTTTACTACTAGCAAGATTAACAGGGTTAAAGCTTCACGCATCTGTGGGAAAAAGCGTATATTAGATCAATCTCAGATTTTATGAATTCACATCGGGTCATTCAATGAAGACTGATTTGAATCAGATGAAACAATTATTTTAACCCAGCCCTAATTTTTACCCCCAACACAATGGAGGTCACTTGAGGCCTTTTTATGCTCTGATGCATGATGGGAATGTTTTGAACGGGTGAGATGTGAGTCAGAACAAGTGGTAATTAGAATGTGTCATTTTGAAGGCTAGTATTTCCAGGTGACCAAAGTTTGCTAAATGATGTGATTTGTGCTTAGAGTTTTGCAAAAATGTGATTTAAAATTTCTTTGTTTGTGAAAACAGTGAAATTGTGCTCATAGTTCAGCAGTCTAGAGTCCTGTTGTTGATAACTGAGCTTTGAGTTGTCAGAATTGTGTGCACAGCTCCTTTTTTGTGTGTGAACAATTAAGAAAAACTATAAATAGCTTGTGTCTGTTTGAAAAAGAACACAATAGATAGGTAGGCTTCTGATTGAATGTCTCTAGTATCATGTTTCTATGATCAGTTCTGCACACACATTTCCTTCCTCCATTAGTCTAAAAATTGATCAGAACACACACTTTATCATTAGATGGCGGTATCTGAAACTTGGCCATCACTTCCTCAAGTACTGAGCCACATTGTGGCACCACATCTTTTAGTTTGGTCATCTCAGTGCTGATGTCAGGCTGAGGGAACACAACTGATTTACTGTTATTTGGACAGAAACACACAGCTGCATTATGACAAAGGGAACATTTTTTCAGTTTTACCTTTCTGCTTACTCTCAGTAGCCTTGGCCTATAACCTTTGAATTACCAACTTACCACACACACGTGCACAAATGTGTACTAAATGTGCACAAACAAACACACGGGCATGTTGGATTTGAATGACTCTCCTCACTCTTCTCAGGGTGTGTATGTGTGTGTGTGTGTGTGTGTGTGTGTGTGTGTGTGTGTGTTGTGACACAGCTTAAATTAACGAGTGTAATTGGCAGGCATCTGTTTCCACAGGCAGGTAAAGGTATACCTACTGTAGTAGTTTGTGTACACCCGTACTCAGGTTTCACCTCAGAGGTATGGGGAGTGTAGATTAAGAAGCAGCACTGTGTGAGGCAGAAGTTTCAGTTATTGCTCTGTGGGTGTGTGTCTTACCATAGCCGTTATCACTGTAGGATGACGGATGTTCGCCTAAAATGGCCTGTCTCTGCCTTCCCTTTCCACGGTCTGAAACACACACACACACACACGCACACACACACACACACAATATTAGATTGCGTGCAGCACCCACAGTAATTTACCTCACAACAACAGGCTTCTTTCACAGATGTAGACTTTGCTTTTACTACCTCTGAAGACCCTGCCATATAAAATAGTTCTAAAATGAGCACTGTGGGCTGGATAATTACAGCGTACAGTGTGGGGAGTGATGTCACTGTTTGCCTTTGTTTTCTATTCAAATTAAATTGGACTAACCTGGGCTTTTGATTACAACCTGTCTGATAGTCTGACTGCTTTGTGTTCCTTGACCAATTGGACCTAACGTTAGTAGGGATGCACCGATTGTGAAATTTTAGGCCAATGCTAATGTTTAAAATTACAATTTGGCTGAAAACCGACACTGATGTTTTTTTTGTTGTTTAGTTTGTTTTTGTTGTTATTTATTCCCCCCTTTGTGCCAGGGAAAGAAAGAAATCTTCTTATAAAAAATAATTGAACTGTTTCAAAGTCATTCAGTCATCATTACACTCCCTTTGAATGAGTACAACTTTTATACACATTAATAACAACCCTTAAAATAACCTTCTTTTACATTAAAAAAATAACTGCTTCAAATGTCTTTTTACTATATACAGTCAGGTCCATAATTATTTGGACAATGATACAGTTGTCGTCATTTTGGCTCTGTACACCACCACAATAGGTTTTAAATGAAACAATGAATACCTGCTTAAAGTGCAGACTCTCAGCTTTCATTTAAGGCTTTTTTTTAAAATTTTTTTTTTATTTTTTTTGTATTTTTATCTTTTTTTTTTTTTTTCCCCCTACTTTAAGGGCTCATAATTATTTGGACAAACTAACATAATCATCAATTAAACAGTCAGTTTTAATACTTGGTTGCAAATCCTTTACAGTCAATGACTGCCTGAAGTGTTGGACACATAGGCATCATCAGATGCTGGGTTTCTTCCCTGGTGATGCTCTGCCAGCCCTTTACTGCAGCTGTCTGCACTTCCTGCTTGTGTTTTGGGTGTTTTGCCCTCAGTTTTGGCTTCAGCAAGAGAAACGCATGCTCAGTTGGATTCAGGTCAGATGATATGACTTGGCCGTTGCAGAACATTCCACTTCTTTGCCTTAAAAATGTCTTTGGTTGCTTTTGCAGTATGCTTCAGGTCATTGTCCATCTGCACTGTGAAGCATCATCCAATGAGTTTTGAAGCATTTGGTTGAATCTGAGCAGATAATGGTGCCCCAAACACTTCAGCTTTCATCCTGCTGCTCTTGTAAGCAGTCACATCATCAATAAATACAAGAGAACCAGTTCCACTGGCAGCCATACATGGCCATGACATAACAGTACCTCCACCATGCTTCACTGATGAGGTGGTGTGCTTTGGATCATGAGCAGTTCCTTCCCTTCTTCCTTCTCTTGTCTTCCCATCATTCTGGTAGTTGATCTTTGTTTTATCTGTCCATAATATGCTGTTCCACAACTGTACAGGCTTTTTAGATGGTTTTTGACAAACTCTAATCTGGCCTTCCATTTTTAAGGCTAACCAACGGTTTGCATCTTGTGATAAACCCTCTGTATTTATTCTAGTGAAGTCTTGTCTTGCTTACAAGAGCAGCAGGATGGAAGCTGAAGTGTTTGGGGCACCATTATCTGCTCAGATTCAATTAAATGCTTCAAAACTCATTGGATGATGCTTCACAGTGCAGATGGACATTGACCTGAAGCATATTGCAAAAGCAACCAAAGACATTTTTAAGGCAAAGAAGTGGAATGTTCTGCAACAGCCAAGTCATATCATCTGACCTGAATCCAACTGAGCATGCGTTTCTCTTGCTGAAGCCAAAACTGAGGGCAAAACACCCAAAACACAAGCAGGAAGTGCAGACGGCTGCAGTAAAGGGCTGGCAGAGCATCACCAGGGAAGAAACCCAGCATCTGATGATGTCTATGGGTCCAACACTTCAGGCAGTCATTGACTGTAAAGGATTTGCAACCAAGTATTAAAACTGACTGTTTAATTAATGATTATGTTAGTTTGTCCAAATACTTATGAGCCCTTAAAGTTGGGGGACTGTGTGAAGAAATGGTTGTAATTCCTACACGGTTCATACTACATTTTTGAAAAAAGCCTTAAATGAAAGCTGAGAGTCTGCACTTTAAGCAGGTATTCATTGTTTCATTTAAAACCCATTGTGGTGGTGTACAGAGCCAAAATGACAACAACTGTATCATTGTCCAAATAATTATGGACCTGACTGTATATCATAATTCCCTCTCTAATATGTATTTTACATTGCTGTGAAAACATCAACAAATTTCTCCTTTGAACAGCTGTATTTATCCAAGTTTCTCAATAAACACTACATTTTACAAGATAACATTTGAACACATCGTGATAACCTTATAATTTACCTTCGCCCAATACCCATTTTTACAGAATAGAGCTTGAACACATTATAATGTAACTCACTGTAACCTCCATCAGCAGTTATTCCATTTGTACTGTGAAGTTCACATTTTTGAGTTCCCAGTCAGAAATTTCAACTAGAACACCCTGACGTTGGATTTTCAGCTTGGAAAGTTGAAGGGAAAAAAAAAGTCTCAAAATCCAATATGACTGATCTGCACATTAACGGTAGTGAATGCTTATGTATTGTGCAATTTATTAGCACTTCTATCTTACCTGCATCTCACTAAAACATTCATACTCACAATCCTGTCAAGTTTCTATTAGTGGACATGTTGCTAAGGTGTTTATATGCACAAAATACAGCTTTCTTAACATCTGGTATTGGCTACAATGGCTAACTTGGGTTGACCTGGTTTGTCATCAACAGTTTTTTCCAACTTGTTGCACTGGAACGCGATCAGCATGAGTGTGACGTCATCCCAATCTCCAACCTCTGACTTACAAGGTAAATGGAACACAACATTAGGTGTGGCCACCAGCTGCTTAAAGCTGACATTAGCTAGCTCTCTTCCTGCTGATTTCAACACAGATTTGTTGTTCAGAATGTAGCATTATCAAGGAAACAATAGGGTGCGTCCCCTGATGTGTCGATAGCGAGTTTATTGCATTCTTTCGTCCCGACGGCATCCCAGGGAAGAGCTCTGTTCATCCCATACGCACTTCCTATGAATCCTGTGACGATGGGACACTGTTAGTCTTGAGCCCTGGTCTTTCGTATGTGCAAAATGATTGTGATGTGACAAAGAAAAACATCAGCCACTGCCATTGGTGAGTCAGTCAACAAGGCTAATATCAACTGTTACCGATGAGTGGCTGATAATTTGATGTATCCCTTATCTCTAGCAATGTTGTTGTTTCCCAGATCTTAGCAATTAACTGTGTTTTTACAATATTCACTGTTTTAATGAAATAACATACAAAACAACAAGAATAAGACGTAAGATGTAAAAAATATTTTACGGCATACCATCTAAACGACAGCTATAAGTTTACACCACAGCAGCACAATGCCACAAGATCATGCTTGAGGTTGAATCTTGAAGGGAAACTTATGTTAGAGCGGGGAGCTGTCAGTTAATAGTCAGGCTCTATAGCATAGAAACAGACCCCTGTAACCATGTTATCAGATTATTGTGTTCACCCTGTCAGGGGTTTGAGGTGCCTCTGGTGGCCAGAGGTACAAGGTACATTACAGAATTTCCTTGCTCATGTGCATTGTGCAAAAATACATAACATTAAAGGGATATTCCAGTTTCATGTAACTTTGGTCTTATTTTCATTGTTTTGTCATTTCTAAGGAAGGTAGTCCATACATCCTTCTCCCCAGCCATCTACTTGAGTTCTTTTTGGGGATCCCAAGACAATTCCAGGCCACATGGAATACAAAATGTCTCCAGAGCGTTCTAGGTCAGCCCTGGTGTCTCCTCCCAGTTGGACATGAAAACCTCTTCAAATCAGATTCCGAAACCATTTCAATTGGCCTCTTTTGAAGTGAAGGAGCAGCAGTTCAATCCCTAGTTCCTTCCAGATGTCTGACCTCATCACCCCATTTCTAAGGGCCCTGATATACCAAGACAACAATCAGCCGTAGGTCAATGTTGGGCCATCAATGTGCATCTACTGCGCTAATTTTCGCAGTGTGTCCTGCACTGCTGGCACCAGTTGGCCCTTGGTGGCTTTTTCAGCATTCTCAACTGGCATCAGAGAAGGCTGAGCCAGTTGCCTCCTCGCCAAGGGCACTGATTTCCTCTGCTTATATTAACAATGTCATTCATTTGGTCACTAACTTAAGCTCATGACCATAAGTCAGGGTTGGAACATAGACTGACTGGTTGTTGAGAGCTTTGCCTTCAGGCCCCCTAGTCCCCCCACCCCCCGCCTACCAATGACCAATATCTGTACATGCAAGAAAAGCTCAAACAACACACAGAAACAGGCCAGAGAGCTGTCACAACCACCTGTGTGTGGATGTGAGGGGTCTGCTGCTTCACAGTAGTCTGCAAACCACCTGCATACGAGGAGGTCACAGATCCGTGATTTAACATCATCTGCAAAAAGTGGAGATGCAAAACTGAGTCCACCGAACTGGGTATTCTCCAGCCTTGACTCCACCCATATCAAAGAGAATCGTGACCAATATTTAAATTAAAATGCATTTTCTTCTTCAAGACTGCTCATTCTTTCACTTAATTAAAATGAAAAAGAAAAAGACATTTGAGATTTAATTTTCAAAATATGCCCCATCAAATAGATACCAAAATTCAATTTGAAATGTAAAATTTGAAAATTAAAATGCATTTGCAGAAATGCTTTTCCATTTTAAGAATGTGGCTGCATTATTTGACTCATAAATAAAATGAATAATCAATCAACCTATTTGCATTTGCATTTTCTTCTTCAAGACTGCACATTTTATGCCATAATCAAAAAGAAGACAAAGAAGACATTACTATTTCATTTTCGTGGTCTGCCCTGCAAAATAGTGCCCATAATTCGAAAATGATTTGGCAATCTGAGCGGCGCAGGAGAGTGACGTCTGTAGCCGCTCTTCTTCAGCTCCGTGCTGACCATGGTGCTACCAGAGATACTGGATGAAGGGAGATACCCAACTGTAGATACCCAATGTTAAAAAAACGGTTACTCTTCCTGTCTCCTAAGTGGGCGTGGTTAGCTCTCCCTCCAATCAGAGCCTGTTGACGTCACTGAATCAGGAAGTGAGCTGAGTTGGGTATCTCGCTTCATCCAATATCTCTGGTGCTACCCATCTAATACGATAGGGGGCGGTGTGCACATTTGATATATGGATGCATCACAGATCATGGCGCTCTCTGAGATTGTGCTTTCTAAATATCGTAATTTCCCAGAACTGAATAAATACCACACATAGCAACACAAAACTGCTTTGCTAGCTCAATCATGTTGTAACTAAGATATCTGCTGGAAAAGGTATTTTTTTCATGGACTGTTCATTGAGCTATGGAGTTAATACGTCTGCTGACTTGACAGTCATTTAGGCTAGTAGCAGCTTATACTTGTACAGCTTATACTTTGTAGACATCGTGATTTCCCAAAACTGAATAAATACCACACAGTCCAGCAACTTTTCCGGGGGAAACCCTGTGACATTG